AGAGCATTTATCATATTATTTTAGTATATTTATTTAATATTAATTTTTCTTTATATTTTTTCTATTAAGGATATTTTTATCTTTTGTTTTATAATAAATTTTGATTTAACATTACTTTATAATACTATTATATTATTAATTATGAAATTAATCAAAGCATTAATTAAAAAAGTATTTAAAAATTAGTATGATTTTGTTTGTTTTTCTCAGGATATTATTCTATAACTAAAAGTAAAATTTAAATTAAAGTTAAAATTAATTTATCTTTATATCTTTATAATTATTAAAAAATTAGAAATATTATATATTTAATAGATTAATACAAATATTCAAATATATGTAATTGATGAAATGAACCTAGTATGACATTTATATGGTAAATAAAAGTTGTAATTTATCTTTTAATAGAGAAGATATTGATATATATATATATATATATATATATATTATTTTCTACCTACTTTGAATATATACATAAGTATCTTGGTGAAAATTAAATTTCACGAGATTTACACATTAAAAGAAAAGGGTCTAGCTTTTGAAGCTCAGCAAATGTACGTTATTTGTTGTCCATAAAAGAGAGGTGGGCTTTGAAAAAAAAAAAAGGTGGGCAAGGCGTGAAACTGAAAACCCTAATTTCTTTACTGAAACAATGGCGAAGATCTCTGATCTTTCGTGTGATCTGGTAGAAGAGATACTCTCAAGGGTTCCCATTACTTCTCTAGTAGCTGTGAGATCAACATGCTATCCCAGCTTACAGTTTCTTCATTGATGAAGAGAAGAAACGTGCTGTGATTTTTGCTCGTTGCTCTTATGAAAATGAATCATTCCACGCAGCTTACATCTTTGGAGAGAATGACTTGTTTAAAACAGTGGATCTTGAAGAAACTAAAAATCACTTTCGTTTTCCAAATTCTCCACTTGTGTCCTCAAATTCTTATGTTCCAAGTTTAGTGCAAATACAAAAAAAATGCACAGAGAGAGAAGATTAAGCAAACCAAGAACGTCCTGTGAAAAAAAAAGAAAAACAGGAAATGGAATTTCTCCTTTTACAATAACATGTATTTGTTTCTTGCATCACCTCTATTTCAATTTTTTTTTCTTGTTTTACTTGCTGCTGCACTGTACTGTTATCAAATATGTTTTTTTACAGTAAACATATTTAATCAAATAAGTAAAAAAAGAGTAATTGCATCTCTTATACACCAATAAACTAAGTAATAATCCGCACCTTGTGCAGAGTGAGAATATTATTTTTGTTACTTTTAAAATAAAAATGTTATTTTTTCTAATGTCCTAAAATATAACTATAATTCTAAATTTATATTTATTTTGGTTTGTTTGGTTTAAACGTTTGATGTTTTAAATTTTTTAGATGATAACCAAAAACTATTGTTATTTGTTTGGTTTCGTTTTATATAAACTTTAGACATTTTTTATGTCGAACTAATAGTTTCCTCTTATAATTTCTAAAGACATGTAAAAACAAATAAAATCTAAATAATATTTGAAGAAAAAAATGAAATTATTAACACAAAACATTTCACTACAATTTGAGCGATAGTGAAAGAAAACATTTTAAAAAAAATCAACTTCAATAAGAATTAAAATTCTCACTTGTGGTAAATATTTAGTTATATAGTCACTCATGTCAATGTGTACACATGATAATAAGTGCTTAAATAAAATTAAGTAAAAATAAAACAAACTTAGAAATTAATAACATTTTTTCATATGAAGAAAATCAAATTGTACGCGTAAAAAATAAAAATAATATATATTACAAAGTAGCATCTTCACTTGGTACCTGAATTCCGTTTTTTAATCGATTTGTTATTTTTATTTCTTTGTAAAGATTTTTTATTTCTGATTTTTTTTTCTACCAATTTGATTTTGTTTCTAATTCTTGGTCCGATATGAAAAATTTATAAAAATGTTCAAATTTGACTAAACTAAAGATCCGACTTTACGTGTGGTGTTTTTCACCTCAGTTTCTTTAATTCATAATCAATCACTGTATTTAATGTTATTGTGTACCGAAACCCCAACCATGACCAACTTCGGCAAGGTACAAAACTTTCAATTTCTACAAACATTTTCATCACAACATTTTAGTTGATGCGGATCTGAATGATTTTGTATTTTTTTACAATAAAGATATTATTCATTAGTTTCACGTAGAAAGTTTTAATTTATTAATACAAAGGCTAAAAATGTAGGAAAATGAATTAATTAAAAAATAATGTATAAACACATTAACTAATAAATTTAAAATATTAGTGTGTGAACGCATTAATTGTCATATGATTGTGAGGCCGATCCGTGTCAATTAAGGTGTGAATGCATTTATTACAATTGTTCTCTTTTAATATATAAGGGATGCTATACTTGCAGAAAGGGAAAACACACTATTAGAGCAACATTATTGGTGTAATACTCACTAAGTATCCCACTAATATAATAATCCTCTATATATTAATTGAGAATCATTTAAAAAGTTGTAACCTTAAGTTTGTAAGAATTAAAAATAACTTCAATCTTATGTGGCATATCTCTTTGGCTTCTATTTCAAATCCTAAGGATTCTAGAGCATATGATATAATGTATAGTTTAAAAATTATATTCTCTAGCAATATATTATTTCGTCGGCTATAGTTGGTCGCATATATCAAATATTTATTGTTTCGCATGCTTTCCTTAAATAAAACCTACGGAATTACCTAATGTATACTTTTCTCATTTTGTTTATTTCTTTATTACTAAAATATATTACACAATTACATTAATCATATAATAAAAATCTAGACTTTTTTCTGAATGTTGTATTTCGAATTTTTCAAAATAAGTATAAATAACTAAAACTGTTAAAAATCCCACATAAACTTTTAGGATCAAGGTTTTAATTTTTTTTTCTATCTTAAAATATAATGATTAAAAGACCATATGAAGAAAAAAAATTTAGTTTATATATATTTCATATCATTTTAATTAAACTATACATCATATGAAAATACATACTTATATTTGATATTTGCCTTGAACATATATTGAAAAATTAATATTTTAATTTTGAAGTATGTCATTGTTTTTTAAAATGATTATAAATTATTTAAACTACTAAACATCTCACATTAAAAAAAATGTGTTGTTATAAAGTTTTATTACACAAATATGCAAATAATCATAAAATCATATGAGTAGAAACCTCATTTAATAAATATCCATATTAAAAGTGTACTATATTACTATGTTATATCATTTAAATTTAATTATATATCATATATAATATATAAGATTGATTATTTTAATTTATTTACTCTAATAGTGAATAAACAAGAGTGATAGTTAATTTATATACATACGCCAATTTATTACATAATAGTAACTGATTTCTTAGTTATTTAATATATATATATATATATATATTTATTATTTTATTATTTTATAATATGCAGAAAAAAATAAAATAAATAATCAATATAAAATACTTATTGTGCATAAAGTGCAGATCTTAACCTAAGTATGTATCTCTTTAATTATTAAATCTTAAGTATTTTCTAAATTTCAGGTCAAAACAAACAAACGAAATGAGAATAAACTTCAAAATAAATATTTATATCGAGTAATAAACAAAATATAAAAACATAACAAGAGAAAAATTGAAGATAAATAGGATTGACATGTGAATGTAAACTTCTCATAACCATAATTAATTTTTAAATTGTTAAGTCATGATATAAAACTGAGTTAATTTTTAATTTGTTAATTTTTTAATTTTTTAAAGCATTATGGTTATGTTAAATCATGACCATAATTAATTTTAAATTGTTTATTTGTATTTGAAAAACTTAAAATGTTGTTTTTAAAAATAATTGAAAATTTAACATAATTTTTTATAAAATTATTTTAAAAAATAATAATTTGCAAAAAAATATAATTTTCTAATATTATTAGACAAATAAATAAATTATATTAAAAACATTAGGGAACTTTCTAATATTCTACCAATCAAGTCCAGTGTAAAAACCGTTTTAAGAGGACGATGAAGTTAAGGGGTTCTTGGATCAGAATCTTGGTTTAGGTGCAGAGGTTTTGCTTGTGAACAATGTTTAACGTGAGTTTAATCCCTGTGTATGTAATCATCATATCAAAGTGCAAAAATGTACATAGTTCGTTGTATTTTTTTTTAGTTACAGTAAAGTTGAAGAACACTTTTCTTGAATGTTTAGTGAGTTTTCTCCACTTGTGTGGCTTGTGAGTTATCATCTTCCAAAGTAAGATTTCTACGTACTCTACTATTGGAATGTCATGAACATAGTGTCTATGCTCTACAAGTTGATAGAGTAGATCTTATATACCTTCTGTCCATGTTTGCATTTTGAAACATTGCACAGATATCAACTGTTCTGCTATTAATGGAATGTTCTCTCATGTAAACACTTACAATCCAGAGTACGTATGATCTTTAGAGTAATCCATAAAGCTGACTTGGTTACTTTCTGATATCCGTGTGCCCACCATCATTGACCTGGTTTTTCTTCTCTTTTCTCTTTAGTATTAGTCTCACACTCAAGGAAGGTATCTGCGTGATCCATAAAGGTGAGTTTATATTGGCCTTTCCTAGAGTCAAAAGAACTTGTACACATTTCTTTTCTGGGCACACGGACCTAAGTGATGATCAGAGAGGAAACCATACCGAAAGGTTGCTTATTAGAAAGAACCTTTCTTTCGCTTAAACAAATGTTTGTGGACCGCTGTATACTTTACTTTCCATAGTGGAAATGTAGGAAACACTGGACAAAGTCTTGTTTTTTTGCTCTTTGGCTAGCTTTGTTTTCCTTATTTCGGCGTTTTTGATAATCTTTCTATCTGTTAGTATCTTATATAATTCTGAAATTGAACTCACCTACTTTGTTTAATTTATTAGTATATGCTTTTAGCGTCTACAGTAATCATAGCTTCAGTGTAATCATGTCGTCATTAATAATCATGGCCTCTCTGGTCTCTACCTGAACTCTATTAGGCAACTGTTTTGAGCATCAAACTCTTTATAATCACTCACTCTCCTCAACTCTGTTCTCTAAACTGCTCTCACTCTCTTGGGATATGTCGGCTACAGGGACAAAACGGTGCAATGCTAACACTAGACCAGTAACTACTTCTGGTAAGCAATCCTCAGCCAAGGGACCGTATGGTAAGAATCCGGGATGCTCAACGAGCTGTGGCTTGAGGCTACCAAGGAAAACAGAAGTCACAACAGCAAGAATGATCAAGCATCTCAGCTATAAATTCGTCAAAGGGTTACGTTTGGTGGTGATGAGGAGGAATAAGAAGAAGAGACCTCCAACATTGAAGGCTTCTTCCACAGGAAGATCTCAGCCTTCTGTCATCTCTATGGCTAATGATACCTGTAGATCAGAGGCTATAGAAGACTGCATACAGTTCATAAACTCCTCGACCTCCTTCACAGGATCACGTTCAACCAATGTCTGTACATCTTAAGCTTTTACTTATGCCCATAATCTCGAAGACTCTATTTCTTTGTCGCTCGTTGACTAAGGAATAGCATTTTACAGAACTGCATGTAATATATCTATATAAAGAGTAGAAGAGAGACTTGTTTAAGTGATCATGAGAAACTTGGAAAGTGTGTGCTCCGATTATGTACAAAAAATCATCTGTAAATTTTTAATCTACACAAGTGTTTGGGCTAATTGACAAGCAGAAACTTCCTGAAGAATTTTCCGGCAAAAAAAAAATATATCCAGACTTCAGTATGTGTATATTTAGAACCTGGTGGTGAGGCGTTGTTGCATCTGATATGAGGTCTTGGAGCTGAACTATTCACTGATTTATCAACTATTCTGGGGATGGATCAATCGATGATCTTCTCTCCGGTTGAAAACAGGTTCCAAACGACGGTTCCGACTAGGTAAAGACCAACCGAAATCGTGAAAACGTCATCCCAAGAACCTGAGGTGTTCGATGTCATTGTTAGAAATTAAACAAAAAGATTAAGCAAAGCACTGTAAGAAATCAAGAAATGTTCCCAACCGTGTTGTAGGATGTGACCAGTGGCAGCTGTGCCAAGAACGCCGGCAAGTACTCCCGCTGTGTTAGACAAACCAAGTAACACTCCCTGACACAGGTACACAACAACATCAACTTGGCATTTGCTTTTCAGTTGGTTACGACTTAAAAAGAGTGATTGGTCACACACTTACAGAGTATCTTGGAGCAATGTCTTGATGGTTAGAGTACAAACCAGACTGCGAGAACGCATCAGTCCCTTGGCTACAAGCCATGCACAAAACGGCCATCGCAGGAGAATCAATGTGTTTCAGCTGTGTTAGAAAGAAGGCTGGTCCAAGAAACCCAATTGTTTGCATTATCTGAATCCATCATAGGAAAAAAAAGGACAAGAGGGTTATCAAATGAGTTGCTTTTACTAAATTTGCATTTGAAATGGATACACAGGTACCTTGCGGACATTCGTGACGGAGTAACCTCGGCTAACGAGTGTATCAGCGATCCATCCACCAGCATTTGCAGAAATGGCCATAGTCATCCATGGAAATACTGAGAGAAGTCCTGATTCCATTAGGTTGAACTTCAACACCTGCCTCTCACAATGTCCACATGAGACTTCTTTATACAAAACAAACACATCAAAGCCTTTTGAATAAAGACAGTAAGTAATTACAAACTGACTTGGTGGTAATAAGTTGGCATCCAGGTTAAGAGAATGAATGTTCCCCAGTTGTGACAAAAGTGGCAGCCGATGAGAGCCCAAACCGGCGGTTTAGACAATATCAACCTCCACGGGATCGACTTCACTGGCTCTTTGCTGGCACAGTTGTCTGCAATCAACTTCCTTTCTTCAGGGAGCAATGTTAGATCTTCAACTGGTGAACTTTCTGCCTATAGTTTAAGTAACAACACACACACACACACACTAATGGGTTACTTATGAGAATTTGGATTCATAAATAGTTTAAAAAAAAGCAGTACACAAGTCTAAACCTTAGTTAGCCAGAGAGTCAGCCACACAGTTCCAAGAGACCCAAAAGAGTAAAACACGGAAGGCCATCCGAAATGATGAATCAAGAAAGGCGAAAAGGCTAAACCGGTGACGGATCCAAGGTACATTCCACTGTAAACAAGGGCGAGAGATCTGCTTCTCTCTTGCACAGGCACCCACTTGGAAAGTATATTGTTCATAGCAGGCATCGCAACACCCTGAAAGACACCAAACATATATAGATATTAACTTCTTTATTTTAACATGTTAGAAAGTAAGCACAAACCTCGCCAACTCCCATGAAAGCACGAACAACGAGCAAGAACGGGAGGCCGAGTTTAGCTGCGATAGGAGTTAGTATTGTAGCGATTGACCACCAGATTACGCCGAATCCAAGTACCATTTTGCCACCTACCGTGTCCGCCCATATCCCACCAGCTATCTGTTATATCAACAAATCACTGATTCAAATCAACTGCTCAAAATATTACTCCCTAGGTTTAAAAGTGATCTATGTTTTTAGAAAAAAAATATTTTTTTTTATATTTTTAATGCATTATTTAATGATAAATTGTAAACTTTAAAAAAAATTGTATATTAAAATTTTGTTGGTTCAAAATTATAAGAAATTATGTTCAATTTTTTTAAACCTTAACTTTTTTTTGAAAGAGAGGGATTTTTTTTTAGCAAAAGAGGGATTCTTTATTACTATGAGGTTTTCTTTATTACTATGAGGTTATGGGCCAGAAAACCCATAATCTTGAGACCATAACTACAACATGTAATATTAGTTTAATCTCAAACGTCATAAGCAAACTAACTCGGTCATGCTCATGTAATAAAGAATCTATGCAATAGTGAAGAGGAAGCTTTACTTACTTGAGTGAGAAGGTAACCCCAAAAGAAGGAAGACTGAATCAGACCAACTGTCGACGGATTCCAACCATACTCAGCCGACATAGGAAGTATAGCTATGCTCATGTTCACCTGTCCAAAAACACCAATCTCTCCTAAATTAGCAACTCCAAATCCTAATTTAGCAAATCCTTTTTAATTCTACGAAGCAACAAAACTTACTCTATCCATATTGCAGAGAAGAAAAGCAGAGAAACAGAGAAGCACTATCACCCACCGCTTCGGAAACTCTTCCCACCATGGAACCACCGAGCTTAACGAATCAGAAACGACGCCGTTTCGATTCACTATATCTCGACCTTCTTTTATAGTCTCTGCATACGAGTTACTGCTCTCTCTCTTGTCGGAGCTCCGAACTAACACCCGGAATACGCTGGACCTGTTCCGCTGGTAAATCCATACCCGTAACGAATTCGGATCCGGTTTTAGAGTCTGGCGGGTGCGAGGAGAGGTTTCAGGTGGACGATTTGAAGTGTAGAGAGAGTGGAGGTTCGGAGAGTAGAGAAGAGCTCTCGCGTTCATGGCGAGTTAGATTTTTTTTTCTTAACTCCACCTCTTCTTCTCTGCTTCTTTTTTTTCTCAAGAGAGATGAATAGATTTTTGTTTCAAGTTCGTGGCTGAGTTGAGGACACGTGGGATTCCAGTATTGGTTGTGTGAAGAAGTCATAATCTAACGGGAACTAACGGTTAACAGAATTATTGGAGGAGGTAACCAGGCTAAGAATCTGAGCCTAATATGAAGCCCGTATAAGGCCCAAATCAGCTTACAGGCCGGAAATTGCGAGACTACAAAACTTAATATTAAAAATTGCTCGACTTTCCCAAATAAAGAAATTAATATTGGCAACTATGTTGAAGGCAAAGTCAAACCATATGAACTTTGAAGTAGGCCTATCAAAAATGCAGATAATTCGGTAATGACTAACAATTATTTATAATCCGTACGTGATATAATATTTAAAGATGTGAACAATGACCGACTTTATGTGGGGATAAAGGCAGGATCCAAAGGTAAACCAATCCCCCCCTCCCCCACTAATTGCGTTAACAAAGATGCCAAAGAATATTTAATCCGGAAATTAATTAAATTAAAATGTGGCGGGTGTACATTTATTTTACATAAAAACTAACCGTCCAAAACATTAATAGCCATATTAGGTTGTCGGTTTGTTGACAAAACAATTTCTATCATTTATCAGACGACGTGTTTAACCCCAACCAAGATAAAGAGGGAACTATTCTGCTCGTTTTTCATATTCGACGGTTGATTATATATAGTAATAAATTTTAGATTCCATCATTCACGAATACTAGTTGGTTTGTCATAAGACTGATCATAACTGAAATCTTACTATTTTTCTCCGGTAAATGTAAATGTTAAGTTGTTCACTCGATCATGACACTGCAGCCACCATCTAACCGAAGTCTTACTAGTTACTACAGTACTACTTTCGTGAAAAATGAATCCGAGGAGGAAGCGAGTTACTGTCATGAGCCCAAGTTATATTCACCATAAATCTTACATACGGAAAATCAGAGGTGTTGCATATGATATATAATAAAATATTTATGTTGATGATATGTTATATTCCTAATGAAACATTCACAAAAATGGATGAATCAGTATCCTCCGAGCGCCTCCGACCAGCGGAGGTACGTAGTTTGTGAGTGGTGCAGTTGAGATATATTTAAGTTACATAATTATATGAATTAAAATGAAAAAATAAATATTTTTTGGAGGTTTTGAATATTAAAACTTCAGAATTGAGATTCACTAGTTTTTCAAATTTTGAGGTTTAAAATTTCATTGAATAGTCAAAAACCTTAAAGTTTGAGAATTTGAAGACTTCTTGGAGATTATTACATGTTTGTGAAAAAAAACACACATGTACATGTATTTTAAGCCGAGGTTGACAGTTAATATACTTCATCACAATAGTTAATGGCATTGTAAATATATAGGCTTATGAAATCCAATTGAACTATATGAATATATCTCCATATTCTACTGTCCCCATCTTAAATATTGTGTTTAGTCCATCTCGTCCCATATAAACTAATTGCTGGATGATAAACTACATTCTGTTGTACTCGCAAACCCCAAACCATATACTTCTAATTAGGGCTGAGCACAAATACTTATACTCGATTTATACTTGGTACTTGTTCGATACTTGGCCCATAAACCAAGTATTTGCAGTGATCAAATTAAATAATAAATACATCAATTAAAAATTTGCAAGTACAAATCAAGTATCAAATCTTAACTTTTTAAAAATAGTTGGTTTATTATTACTTGTTACTCGTTTTTCTAATATTAAACTAAGAATTATTAATGGTTTGCTTATGATTATTTGAGAAAACAATTATTTATATAAGATTATAAAAATGTTTTCTTAAATATCAAAGTGATATTAAACTTAATATCTCAAAAATTGTTGTGTTGATTATAATATTAAAGATCTTATATAGTTTCCTATGAATATATACATATATATACACCTTTTTGGTTAAAACAATCCTACAATTTATTTTTAAAATTTGAAGATGTTGATTTCGTTGACTTTTAAGATTTTAAATATAAACAAACAAATATTAAATATAACCAAGTAATTTATAAGTATTTTAAATAGTAAGCAAGTACTTGATTAACAAGTACTCAATTAATCAAGTACAAATACAAGTTCATATTTGTGATACTTGTATGAAACAAGGCAAGTATCGGATATGGAAAAATTACCAAGTATCCGATTTGTGTGCAGCCCTACTTGAACTTCTAATAAAACCGTCTCCAATATCTATGACCACTTACCTAAAGTTTTGTAATTTAGTGAATTTACATAAACAATAATTGAATCATATATAGACTTGAAAAAAAAAACTAAATATGTAGCAAGATCAAAATTAGAAAAATATTTTTAGCTTTTTCTTTTATTAATTGTGTCGGTCCAAGAAGAAGGGATGGGAATGATGCAAGATTGTGGTGCGGCAGATTTACTCATCGAAGGTGTCCCTTCTTGTCTACCACAAGTGCTCCCTAGCTTAGGCTTTATGACTATCACTTTTGCTTATTTTATTTTTCTATAAGTATTCATTATTATGTGTATCGCCAAATAATTCTTTTGTTGCATGCGTTATCCAAAACCAACTAAACTGTCTTTGATACAAATTCCATAAGCTAGCATAACTTTTTGTGGTAACGAGGTCTTCTTAAATCTAAACTCGATGTAAAATTTATGATATCAGTAATACATAACTCTTCATGGTAAAAACATAGACTATTTCTTTTTTAAACCAATATATTTATATCATGAAGAGGAACATGTCGGATACGAGACGGAGCAATCTGATCGCCCGAACGATTCAAAATGTAGATCGATGGAGAGTACAGTAATAATCAAGGTGGAAACGAAAACCTAGCTAAGTTTTAGTATTCCAGTAAAAGACGTTCAAGTCTATTTCTATCGATGGTATAAAGCGGGTAATGGTTTTGTGCCACTTTGCTCTCCTTTTTTGTTTTTTTTAAAGGGCTTTCAATAATAAATAAAAACGTTTACATGATAAAGTTTAAAAATAGATTTGCATGAATACAATTCATGATAAAAAAACATCTCAAAGCTATAAACACTTAAGCGTTAAAAGAGTTGAAATCCAAGAAAAAAATGAGATCTGAAGATGCAAGTGGAGCTTGTAGATGTCAATGGTCTTCCGTAACTAACTAGGCGACGAAGTCACTGATGCTGGAGGCATTAGTCGTTACTACATAAGGCATGCAGAGTGGTGGGTTACCATGTGGATGCAGGATATGCTGAGATGGAGAAGGATAAACTAGAGGTTTATGTCTTGACGTAGTCGTTGAAGTAGTTGCTGATGCAGCGTGTGTCAGAGAGTGAACCAGGAGGCATGCGGAGTGGTAGAGACCATGTGGATGCAAGATGCTGAGCTGGCGTGAGATAAACTTGAGGAGCAAGTTTATACCGTGGAGAAAAGGCAAGAGATAAACTTGAAGAGCAAGTTTATGCCTTGAGAAATAAGTACAAATCCAAGAAAAGGAAAGTGTACTTATTAATATGGAAGTTGTCCATATATCCATGTTGCCTTGGAGACTAGGGTTTCAGGAACGTGGAGATCACTATAAAAGAGCTATGGAGTCGTGTGTATTCCATAAGACACTTGGGGCTTTTATTATAGAGGAAGGGTGAAAATCCCTTAGGGTGTTCTTGGGTCGNCGTGGAGATCACTATAAAAGAGCTATGGAGTCGTGTGTATTCCATAAGACACTTGGGGCTTTTATTATAGAGGAAGGGTGAAAATCCCTTAGGGTGTTCTTGGGTCGTGCTGAAGCAGATGCTGAAGCATACGACGATGGAGAGACAAGTTTGGGTAGATTAGGAATCTTTCAGTAGCAGCTGTTAGGGTGTTAACAGGTTGTGTAAAGCTGATAAGCAAGTCTTGTAATAGATTGTTTAAAGATGATTTCTAATAAAACATAGTGGTTGCTTGTATCTATTTTGTCTCTTGGTTTATCTTCTGCATTACTATATTGTGGTGTCATCTTTGCACTTACAATTGGTATCAGAGCGGGTCACCTAAGTTACTGGTGTGATCCTGAAGGTGAAGATGTACACGGTTGTTTGCAGAAGACAATCATGTTGGTTGATGGCTAGTTTGGTCATGAGAAGGCGCGCATGAAATTGTTGGTTCTAGGAATCAATGAAGATGCGTGGATAGCTGTGAAGACTATGTGGGAGGAGCCTACGGTGGTCACAGCAGAGGGGAAGAAGTACAAGTCGCAGGAACAAGACAAGGCAAAGAGTTGTTCGAGAAGTAGTTCGGCGGATGCGTCAGAGGCTGATGCAGTACACATGAAGGAGCAGACGGTGTGTCTGTGAAAGAAGGCTTGACATCTAAGCATCTATGTTTTAGCTTAGTATGCAATCAAGCAGGGGGAGAAGTGGTGACGTTCTGGTCCAAGGAGTGCATATCTCGTGGGGGAGAAGAGCATGGTGATGGACGTCCTGATGTAGATGGTGCATATCTCGTGGGGGAGAAGAGCATATCTATGTGTGAAGATGAAGATAGTGCAAGTCTCGTGGGGGAGAATGGCATATCGAGTGAGGAAGTTTCCAAGTGAGGAAACGTGGTTGTTGAACCAGAAGAGTATTGTGCTTGATTGGCACACAAAGCTAAAAGGGGGAGATTGAAGATGCAAGTGGAGCTTGTAGATGTCAATGGTCTTCCGTAACTAACTAGGCGACGAAGTCACTGATGCTGGAGGCATTAGTCGTTACTACATAAGGCATGAGGAGTGGTGGGTTACCATGTGGATGCAGGATATGCTGAGATGGAGAAGGATAAACTAGAGGTTTATGTCTTGACGTAGTCGTTGAAGTAGTTGCTGATGCAGCGTGTGTCAGAGAGTGAACCAGGAGGCATGCGGAGTGGTAGAGACCATGTGGATGCAAGATGCTGAGCTGGCGTGAGATAAACTTGAGGAGCAAGTTTATACCGTGGAGAAAAGGCAAGAGATAAACTTGAGGAGCAAGTTTATGCCTTGAGGAATAAGTACAAATCCAAGAAAAGGAAAGTGTACTTATTAATATGGAAGTTGTCCATATATCCATGTTGCCTTGGAGACTAGGGTTTCAGGAACGTGGAGATCACTATAAAAGAGCTATGGAGNGATAAACTTGAGGAGCAAGTTTATACCGTGGAGAAAAGGCAAGAGATAAACTTGAGGAGCAAGTTTATGCCTTGAGGAATAAGTACAAATCCAAGAAAAGGAAAGTGTACTTATTAATATGGAAGTTGTCCATATATCCATGTTGCCTTGGAGACTAGGGTTTCAGGAACGTGGAGATCACTATAAAAGAGCTATGGAGTCGTGTGTATTCCATAAGACACTTGGGGCTTTTATTATAGAGGAAGGGTGAAAATCCGTTAGGGTGTTCTTGGGTCGTGCTGAAGCAGATGCTGAAGCATACGACGATGGAGAGACAAGTTTGGGTAGATTAGGAATCTTTCAGTAGCAGCTGTTAGGGTGTTAACAGGCTGTGTAAAGCTGATAAGCAAGTCTTGTAATAGATTGTTTAAAGATGATTTCTAATAAAGCATAGTGGTTGCTTGTATCTATTTTGTCTCTTGGTTTATCTTCTGCATTACTATATTGTGGTGTCATCTTTGCACTTACAAGATCAAGCAACTAGCGAGAGTTACCACGACCGCGATGACGTTGCTTACCTCTCCCTTGTGCTGTCTTCCATTCTAGATCTTGGATCTTGGTCCTTCGACTTTGGGTTACCATGTTATCGATTAGTCACAATAACCGCGCGCGGCCATGCTACGGTACAAGTTTACCAATCACACCCACAAGATAATATAGGCTCTGATTGGTAAATTCTTGCACAAAATGGTGGAAACAAAAAGTAAAAGGAAATGTAGGTGGAGTCCAACATATCTAGCGTTATATTTTTCACATGTTTTATATGGAGTAAACTTTCTTTCTGAACAAAAAATAAAATGCTTGATAACAAAAAAATATTTACTCCAACTTCGTGAGCCCATAAGAATAATATTTACTCCAGAATGTTTACCAATCACACACATGATAATTACAGTCGCATGTTACTTATCAAGACTTACCACCAAACGAGAAGGCAAGACGGTAAGAAACAAACGTTTCCATGTGGATGGAGACAGGAAGAGCTTCGTAATGGCCCGCTTTAAAAGTACATACTTCCTGACGTGGCCCACTTCTTCAATTATCATTCACCATTTCAATCATTCATCACGAACTTTCTTACCGTTTTTCTTTATTTCCATACTTATGAGCTAGACGACATATAACCAAACCACACTTTCTTAATTGAAAATATATCACTCAAAGGCAGTTTTGTGTTTTTAATATCAAGAAAAGACACTTTCTTCTACTAAGGTACTTTATCCTAACATTTTCTTCTTCTAGTTCTATTTTCTAACTATTCAGTTACTTATTACTCTTCCTAATAAACAAGACAAGTAAAGTGGGTCCCATATATTTTTCTTTTTCATTTTTTTTTGAGTTTTTTTACCTTTTTCTCTAAATGAATTATATAGTTCTAGAAATATTTTTTTTTAAAAACATGTATTTAATTAGTATCTTCATTATTTAATCTATCTTTTAAGATATGTCAAGATATATTTATGAAGATTATATAATCGTGATGTATATGACGTTAACAATGTGATCGTTTAAAGCTTCAACGATGACGTCTACATTTTCTCGCGTCTCCTTACTCTGCTCTTGCTTCAAAACCGTTGTCACTGTCGTGATTTTTATTGTTACATTCACCACTTATGAGAAGCTTGATAACAACAATGGTCAACTTTGACATTTGATGCTTGTCAAAAAAATTTCGTAATAAATAAGTGTACACATTATCATAATATGTGTACACATTACCATATTATCACACTATCTAATTGGATAATTTTGCTAGTTTCAAAGTACAACCATATAATGTCCATGTGTACACAACATTTTTATTATCATGTATAATGATTCACTTGTATAATATTGTCCACGTATATACCAATGCATAAACACCAACATGTAAGACCAATTTTTTTTTGAGCAAGAATAACAAACGAGATGTGTGTGCACTTTATGTCGTGTACACATGTAAAAACTTGAACAAATTAGAAGTAAGATAAGTAGACAAGTTATTTTGTGTACACTTTGTAATATGTACACATGTATATCGACAATAGACCAACATAAGTAAAGTGAGATAGCAGACATATATGTACACATTACCATAAT